TTTTGTGTTATGTATGTGCGTTATGTGTATATAGTTACACGTGCATGCATACATGCGTAGATGCATACATGCGTGCATGCACGCATGCATGCATACATATACATATACCTATACATATACGTATACATATACACATTCATCGACACTATACATATATATAATATATATATATATACACTTAGATATAATCATAAACACATGCAAACACACATACAAGTACATATGCATAGACGCATATGCATATGCACAAGCAACTGGAAATACACATCTACATCTACATATACATATGCACATGCGCATAACAGTCTGTAAATACATATACACATACATACACCTATTCACTATATATATACACATATGCACATATCATACTACACCGAAATATACATCTAAACAAATACATAAACCTAGAAATACACATGTACATATACATATACAACTACATACACACTGTACATATACATATACACAAACATTTACACATACATGCACATATAAAGTACATGTATAAAGCTAGACATATATATATATATATATATCCACCAGCATACACATGTGCATATACATGTTAATGTTCATTACAAGCACACATATGCATATACAGATGCATATACATGCACAAACACAACACACATAAATCACCACACACACAAACATACACATGTAAACATACTCACACCTATGCATACACATACAAGTGCACCTATACACATACCCAAACACAAACATGTACAGATGCCTGTACATATACACGTACACAGATATACTGATGCATGCGTGAATACCTGCATATACAGTTACACATGACTATACCTGCACCTGAACATCTACATACACATATATATAATCATAAACATGTGCATATACGCATACGTATACGTACGAGTGTGTGTGTGTGTTTCTAAATGGATATATATATATATATAGTCACCTACCTACACATATACACATACCCATACATATACATCTACATATATATATATATATATATATATATATGCAAATACATCTACACATGAATATACACATACAACTACATCTACATCTACATCTACATATACAGACAAATCTACATCTACATAATCATGAGCATATACATAGACATAAACATATTTGAAACACGCGCGTTTACTTTATAGTTGAGGTCCCGACTATTTGCGACTTACGGTGCATGATGGCTGCGAACATCATTGGGGCTCGTCCTCGTCCTAATGGATGTCCTCGTAGTCGGCCCCGTTTTGTTTTTCCGTCTCCTCCTCCTCCTCCTCCTCCTCCTCGGCCCCTGTCTGACACTGGACCCTGGTCCCCTGGACCCCTGGACCTGACCCTTCCTGTTGCGCACTCCGAAACGTTATCAGCATCGTCATCGTCCTCGTCACCATCAGGGTCTTCAAATGTATCATCAGCATCACCCTGGACGCCAGCACCACCATGTAGTGTTTCTCATGTTCATCACGTTCATGATCGCCGTCGCCATCATCATCCTCATCATCATCGCCGTAATCGCCGACGTCATCGCCATCGCCATCATCATCCTAAGTCTACGTGCTCTGGAAAGGCGGTTCGGAGCACGTGAAATGGGGGATGGCGGACATCTACATCATCATCACCATCAGCATCGTCAACACAATCATGACCATAATCATCAGCATTATCGTCATCGCCATCGCCGTCGCCATCGTCATCACCATCGTACTTGTACGTGTTCCGATGAGGCGTGGTCCTTATGAGCATGATCGGCATCATCATGATCGTCATCATTACTCTTTTCCTGATCGTTGTGTTCATCATCTTCGTGATCGCCGCCGCCATCACAAGCTTCACCATCGTAGTCGTCATCGTCATCGTCGTCGTTATTGTCACCGCCATTTAAGTTCACGTGCTCTGAAGAGGCGTTTCCGGAGCACGTGAAATTGGGGCTGGCGGGCAAGTCCATCATCATCATCATCATCATCATCATCATCATCATCATCCTCATCATCGCCGTCATCATCACCATCACCATCACCATCACCATCATTACCGTCAACGACACCATGATGAACATCATGATCATCATCATCATCATCATCATCATCATCATCATCATCATCATCATCATCATCATCATCATCATCATCATCATCATCATCCCCATCGTCATCGCCATCATGGTCGAAGTCCTTTTCGTCAGTCATGGAACTGTTCTGGGCCGTCATGTGGGGCTCTGGGCGTGAGTGGGTTTTCATGGGGGGGTCTGGGAGCCCCGTGGGAGCTGTCTTGGGAGCCTCGCGGGGCTCTTTTGGGCAGTCGTGGGGTCCTCTTGGGTTGCCTCGGGGCCCTCTGCGGCTGTCTTGAGGCGCTCTCGGGAAGGTTGCAGGGGGCTTCGTGGGGCGTCTTGTAGGCACCCTGGGCTTTTCGGATACCGTCATGGGCGTCTTGGGTCGTCATTTCGGTGAGGGGGGGGGCCTGTCTGGACCATTTTTGGACTCGGAAGCCGCTGCGAAGCCCCCCAGACCTTTCCAAAAAGGGCCAGAAAGCGATCAGGATGACGGCGCAGGAGACGACGGTGACAAAAACGACAACGACGACGACGGCGCCGCGGCGCCGGGAAGGAGGAGCGGGGATGGACGGGTTAGAGGGTCGAAAGAGAAGGGGGAGTGGGAGAGGGGGGCGAGGGAAGGGGAAACGAAAGGTGGGGACAGAAGAAGCGGAGGAGAAGTGAACGAGGCACCAAGTTTTCTCCTCGGAGTTCGAGGCGCAGTGCACGTCGAAACCTCGACGCGTTTGCGGGCCAGGCGCCCCTGACTCAAGCATCGCGAAGGGGAGCAGCAAAACCCTCAACAGCCTGCGGGCCGCGCTGCACTGCGCCGGCGGGGATTACGCACACACAAATGCACCACCCCAGGCGTTCTGAACAACGATCCGGCGGGAAAGAGTGGGGAGGAGGGGGAGCAAGAGGAGGAGGAGGAGGAGGAGGAGGAGCAGGGAGAAGGCGGATGGGCGGGAGGAGAAGCGAGCAGAAACAAACAAGCTACCGCACCTAGAATGGGCTGGCATCCTCCGGGCGGAAACGCAGCTCGCGAGTGCGCAGACGCATCGGACTATGTCCGAGGTACTCGCGCTGGCGACCCACTCGAACGAAGGAGGAAGGGAGAAAGAAGGAAGCAGAGAAAGGAGGAGGAGAGAAGACGAACGCCACGGTCGCGGATGCCCACGTCGGGCCAATCACGGCAGGCAGACCCGGCGGCATTCAGGACAAGAACAACGTGCAATGACCGAGGCAACCAGCGTCATCAGCATCGTCATCCTCTTCGTCATCATCAGGGTCCACATGCGCACCAGCCACGTCACAAATGACGCCATCACCATCTTGTAGTCATTATAATAAAGCTCATCACCTTCAAGATCCTCGTCGTCATCATCATCCTCATCATCGCCGTCGCCATCGCCATCGCAATCGTAAATTCACGTGCTCCGGAGAGGCATCAAAGGAACACGTGAAATTGGGGCTGGCGGACATCCTCAGCTTCATTATCGCCATCATCATCGCCATTACCATCATGAGCAGAAACATCACCATCGCCATCGTCATCGCCATCGGCATCATTATCAGCATCGTGAGTGCACGTGCCCCGAAAAGGAGTGATCATCATGTGCATGATCAGCATCACTAAGATCGTCGTCATCATCGTCTATGTCATCGGTGTGCTCATCATATTCATGATCGCCGTCGTCAACATAATCCTCATCATCAGACTCATCATCGTTATCGTCGTCGCCATCGTCGTCGTCATCGCAAGACTGGGTGCTCCGGAACTAGGTTTTCGGAGCACGTGGAATCCAGGCTCGCGGGCATCTAAATCATCATCACCACCACCATCATCATCATCATCATCATCATCATCATCATCATCATCATCATCAGAATCTTCATCATCATCAGCATCATCATCAGCATCATCATCATCGTCATAATCATCATCATCATCATCATTATCATCATCATCATCATCGTCATCATCATAGTCGTCATCATCATCATCATGATCATCATCATCAGCATCATCATCAGTATCACCAGTTTCATCGTCACCACCATCATCACCAGCACGAACACAATCATCATCATCAGCAGCAGCATCATCAACATCACCATCACCATCATCATCATCCTCCTCATCATAATCAGCATCATCATCCTCATCCTCCTCATCATAATCAGTATCATCATCATCATCATCACCATCATCATCATCATCATCATCATCATCATCACCATCATCATCATCATCGTTACCATCATCACCAGCATCAGCATCCTCACCAGCAACATCATCGTCATCGTCACCATCAACATCATCGTCATCAGCATCGTCATCATCATCACCGATCCGCGCTGGGGTCCAGCGCGGATCCGAGAAATCCGCGCGGACCTCCGAGTTTTTATGTTTATGTCACTTTTTGTTCCCCTATCCTATACCATCTCGTCGGCCATTGCGAACCGGCGCTCATCAATGCCAGTCGAGGCCAATCGGCGTCAAATCGACGCGAAGCCGACGCTAATCGACGATGGCATACGCTAAATCGGCACTACCTCATCGACTCCCAGACGCCAATCGACGCTAATCGACGCTAAAGACGCAATCAAGAGGGCATACCAGGCTCCCATTATTTGCTACCGACGTGGCCCAGCGCAGACAGGAGATGGCCAGCGCAGATCCAAGAAGTCCGCGCGGAGCGCCGCAAAATCATGCCTGCGCCTTTCTGATCCTCGTCGCACGCAGGGGGGGTGCCTCTCCCTCTTCCTCCTCCTCCTCTTCCTCCTCCCCCTCCTCCTCCTCCTCCTCCTCCTCCTCCTCTCCTCCCCCTCCCCCCCTCTTCCTCCTCCTCCTCCTCCTCCTCCTCCTCCTCCTCCTCCTCCTTCCTCCTCCCTCCTCCTCCTCCTCCTCCTCCTCCTCCTCCTCCTCCTCCTCCTCCTCCTCCTCCTCGATCGCCCAATCCCCCCCCGGGACCCAACG